CTGGGTCCTCCTTCTGCAGAGCTGGCATATCTGCAGGGCCCTGGGTATGGGTGGCGATAACCCTGAGGCTGCATCCTAGCTGTCAGCTCTTGCCTTCCTCCCACATGCAGCTGCAGAACCTGCAGAGCTTCATGAAAAAGAAGCTGTTTGTGAGAGTTTGCAACATTTCTGAGATAAGATGCTCTGTACCAGGGGCCCATGCACTACCTGGCCTCAGAATGGGGGTCAGGCATGCACAGATGCCCAGGGACCATGGTAAGTTGGCCAGACAAGTCTGGGGCCACCCGGCAACCAGCCAAACCCTGTGTCCCCACTTACTCCCAAGGGGCCAGAGGTCTGCTGGGTGCTGGCTACAGGCAGCCTGACTCCTCCTATCTCCTTCCCAGGCTCAGACAGGTCAAGCTCCTGGCAGCACTTGCTGCCACAGCTCCAGATACTGCTTCCCTTCTCCTCCTGCAAGCCAGCTGGTGTTCTGTGCTGCTGCCAAGGCTATGATGCCTGGGCTCAGGAGACTTGGGGCTCCTGAATGACTGAGACATGGAGTTGCCCATGCCCCTCCCCTCCCCCCAGGGGGCCTCTCTGGGAAGGTGCCCTGGGGCCAGCCCCATCTTGTGGCTGCTCTGGCACCCCAAGCATGCCCCTCTTGTGTGTGTCCTAGGTGCAGTGCAAGGAGCTATTTGCACAGTCTGAGTGGTGCCCAACCCACTATGCCCTGCTGCTGCTAATGGCCATGGTGTCCTGGGTGCACCTGGCACAGGACTCTGAGCTTCAGTGGTGCAGGGGGCAAGCCTGGGCTACCCTGCAACCTCTGCTGCCGCCTGGAAGACTACCTGTAGCTGCGCTACGTGTCCCACCCCACAGCCAAGGAGGTCATTGCGGCCGACATCAATGTGTTCCTCGGTATGTAATAGGACCATGCCCACCTAGCTGCAGGGGCATAGGCTGCTCAATAAAGTTTTACACTGTCTCCCACCTCCCTGCATGCTGTGTGGGGGGGGACGGGGACCCGGGGACCAGGGGAGTATGGCTGGGCTGGGCAGGAAGGAGGGCAGGAGCAGGGGCAAGATCCAGGGCCAGGGCCAGGGGCCAGGATGGGGAGGGGCTTACCACATGGGTGGGGCTGGCCTGCCCAGTGACTCTGATCATTCCCAACTGGTGGTGACAGTGTGCAGCTCTTGGTGGACTCCTCAGTCGAAGAGGCACAGCACGCAGGTGCCTGGGCAGGGCCCCACCCCCAGGGAGGAGCTGGCACTTCCGGTGGCTGGTGATGACATGGTTGGCCACACCTCATGGCTAGGGCTGAGGTCTCAGAGCTCTCGGTGCAGGCACTGACTCAGGCTCCCTCAGCTGGTGAAGGTTGAGGGGTGGGAAGCTCAGTGGGATGGGCTGCTGGCATCCTGAGGTGCCCCCCCTGGTTACACATCACTGCAGGTGCCAGGCTGGAGTGGGGGCTCGGGCAGGCCACCCATACTGTAGTACAGAGCACGGCTGTGGCCTGGGTCCAGGACGTGAAGATCTCAGTCAGCTGCCACATGAAGGTCATGGACTTGTGGGCACTCTCTGACCAACAGTTGTGGTCAGAAATGGAAACCCACTGTGCTTGCAAGACCTTGACCTTTATGTGGCACTGCTGCGCCAGCCAGTTGTACTCACATTCCCACATCTGGCCTGACAGTCCCTTGTAGATATGTGTGTTGGAGCACCCAACCCATGTGAACTGTCACTGCACCTATGCCTCACCCCACAGCATCACAACATCACCAGTCTCCTCCATTGACCAGTTGGGGCCTTGGGTGACGGTGTGGGCAATGATGAGGCCATTGGGGCTCCCACACTAGCTCTCCAAGCCTCCGTGTGTCTGTCCCTGTGTTGCCAGGCCTGGGCAGCTGCCTGCAGTGCTCCACAGTACCTGCAGGCTCTGAGCAAGCTTCTAGGGGTTGACTATAGGCAGCTGGAGCTGACCCCAGTGGCCAGGAGCTGCCTACACCTGTACCTGAGTGCTGGTGGGCCTGGTAGGAGCCTGCAGCACCCTGCAGGCCTGGACGTCATGGTCCTGGCAGCCATGTAGCACTGTGGTGCCAGGCAGTGGCTCCGAGGTGCAGGCAGGCTGCCACAGGTAGTCTGTGGCTTGTACTGGGGAAGCAGAGGCCAACAGTTGTCTCAGGCTCTCTGCACATGTGCCCCAGGCTGCAAAATGCCTGAAGGGTTTTAAGGGCCTGAGGCTAGGGCTGCCAGAGAGCCAGGCCAGCCCTGGGGCAAGAGAGGCTCCCAACTACAGGGTCCTGGGGCTGAGCTCAGGCTGGCTCCCTAGTGGCAGGGCTGACTGGAAGCAAATTTGCTCCCAGTTGGTGTCTACACATATGTTACTGCACAGTAACTACTTGCAAGTAAATTTTCTACTTGGCTTTGCAGGTAGCAAATTTACTCACAAGTAGCAAAGTTTACTGTGCAGTCAGCATGTGCATGTGTAGACATGCATGCTTACTGTGCAGTAAACTGTGCTACTGCACAGTAAAGGGTCTCATGTACATGCACCCACTGATTACCAAAAGGTATTGCTTGAACCAATTAATGATGTAGATTTGATTCTCTAGTGTTCTTCAGATATCTACACTGCTCTAGCTGTGCAGATTTCCCACCTGCATAGGGAAATACTCTGGTAGTAATTCCTGTAAGACAGCAGGCATGGTCAGGCAAAATGGGCACCTCCCTATGGAACAACAGTTCTCGACTGCCAGCCCTGACTCTAAGAACAGTGCCTTGTAACATGGAAGAGCTGTCTTTATGTTGCTCTGTCTCATGCTGGGGACCATACTAGCAAATACCAACCTATGTCTAGAGAGCAAAACCTTCACTCATGTAAAACCACCTTTGCTTACTTTCAACAGCCTAGTGCTGAAGACATTTTGGCTTCTGGAGGACTTGGACATGTAAAAGCTATTCAGCTTTCATACTATTTGGTAGGAGTGAATGGTTTCCTCGGTCGCATGGAGTTGTTTTTGATCCCAGAGTAGACAACTCAAAAAATGCAAAACAGCATATAATATGAAACAGTGCATGGTCTTGTTTCTATCAGAAAAAATAAATGCTTGCTTGTGAATGGAATACAACTATCTGTGTGAAAATAATTGCCTACCCCAACATCCATGCAGTCAAAAACAGTCTTGGCAAAAAAAACCCAGACATGTATGAAGAAAATTGTAAGTGGATTTTGGTGACAAGTTCATGAATAAGTTCTCCCATTTGGCCAGCTCTAATTATTGACTTCCTTAAATAAATGCTACATATTATTTTATATGGTTTCATGTAATTTGCAAAGTTTTAAAATTTGAGCATGTCAGGTTTGAATTAGATCAATATTTATCCTTTCCTATCCTTAGTAAATTATCTAATTTTCTCCATTGGTATTTTATAAATGAAGACATGTCATGATGGCTCAACACTAGGCACTCAAAGCCAAATACAAAGTATAAAATCAGCTACTGCATAAGTGATATCATATGACATAAGTAATATTTTAAAAGCTGGTTGCAATTTTCAGAGATTATTTGGATATACTGTAAGAAATTAATTTTCTAGGAAATAGTAGTTATGCCTTTTTCTAGCCTCATTTTCAATATTTTACCACAGAAAGAAGGAAGGATGAGAGGTGATGGAATAGAAGGAAGGAGAACATTGTAAATTAGTTCATTCAAATTTGAGCCTAAAATTATATTTTTATTATCACAGTTCTTTCCAATGCAACTAAATGTCACTTATAGATAGGGTGACCATATGGGACAATGTGAAATCTGGGGCACTGCACCCCCCCCCCAACTTTGTTACAGGCTGCAGGGAGTCAATGGCCCATTAATAACCCATTGTGCTCTACAGTCAAAGGTGTTAGCAATCACCTGCGAGGTAACAACTAGTGTTGATGGTCATTCCACTAATCAAGCTAGCCTATTTTAGGCAGTTTGCTGTCTGCTAGGGCTTCTTATTTCACAGCTCTGTCTCTCTGTCCTGTGCCTGGGACACTTGTCTTAATTTTCACTGACCAGCCAGGACTGACCCATGAAATCTGGGACTGTAATGTCCCAGTCAAACAGGACCTATGGTCACCCTACTTATAGAGGAAATAAATAATCATAAATTACAATCTAGACAATTCAGATGGTACTGAAACTATTACCTTGCATTGGCAAGAAGAACTGGAAGACTTAACAGATCTTTTCCATCTCTGTTGTATTGGGTTCTGTTAATTCTGTTAATAAAATGGTGGTTAGTTTATAAACCCAATTTAATGTCACTAGTCATTCCTCAAATCAGTGGAATACCTTGTAATTTGCAGTTATTCAACAGCTCCTTCAGCTAGTTGAATAATGAAAGTCACCTGCTCTGAATCTACTTGCTTAACCAGCATCTTTCTACCTAAATAAGGAATTATTTAATTAGATACTAAATATTGTACAGTTAGCTGTTCAGAACATTAAACATTTAAAGTATTACTGTTTCCTGTTGGCATCCTGAAAGCCAAATTATATACAATTATCTGGGGAGAAGTCAGTAATTAAGATGGAATTTAATATAACCAATATTCCTTATTCAAAACTGATTTGGAAAATGGTATTACTATACATTCCCAATTTGTATATGGAAGGTGCCTTGAGGAGGGTGATATATCTACCTCAGAGACAACTAAAGAAAGACCTCTGGGCTCTGTGTAGATAATAAAATATGATTTCGCTTTTTACTCAAAATTGATATTTGGAGGAGGGTCAGGTTTCTTCTCTTACTCAGTCTAATGCAAAGCTTGTTGGAGTCAGTGAAAAAATTCCTATTGACCTCAATAACCTTTGGATAAAAAACCTACATCTAAAGAAGATGAAAATGTCTCTGGCTAATGGGGGAATGAGCTAGCACAATATCAATATATATAACAAATACATGTACTTAATTTTATATATGATTGCTTAGATAAGCAGACATTTTCCCACCATAACATGCAACAGAATACAAGAAACTGAAACATGGAGCTATTTATTTTCACTTTTGTAATTAAAAAAGACACTACTTTGATGCCGAGGAAATTCAACCTTCCTTTACTCAAGAGAGTTTCATTGTATTATTGGATATGCTTTGGTCTGACGCACAAAAAGTTTACAGCCTAATAAGCTAGTTTCTTCATCAAGTAAAATATTGTACTGTGCTTGACCTTCTAACAGCCTAGAGGTATCTATCAAGGAATGTAATGTATTGTTGCATATATTTAAGTCTGACATGCAGACAATATGCTGTATCTGTGTAGCAGGTTAATTTTTGCTGGAGGTATTTGGTTAAGTTGAATCCAACATACTTCATTTTATAGTCTATTTTATTTGATAATCTGAAAAATTTAAGTATATTATCTGATAGCTGCACTGGCTCTTGTTTTCCACTTGCTACTTTTATTCTTTTTTCATTTCCTATTGTAACTGCAGTAAAACAGCTTTTTTCAAATCTTGAAGTCAAGATTTTCAAAAGTGGCGAGTGATTTTGGGTACCCAGCTAGAGTTACACAAAAGGAGCTGGAGTATGGATGTTTCACGTTCCCTTTAAGATATCTCAAATTGAGGCAAAATCCTTAATCACTTTTCACTCTTTTTTTCCTTCAAAGGAACTTTGTATTCATCATATCAGCCCCTGAAGAGTCCATTTCCCTCACACATTATATAGCCCGGGTTATCTGGTAGAGGAGCAAAAGCTATAATTTGCCCAAACATTTGGACCATTTTTAAAATTGTTAGGCAGTTGAGCACTTTTACACACTACTTATTTATACACAACTAAATCAGGCTCATTTAATTTGCTCCATCCTACTTCTAGTCAACATAGCTTTGTATTTGTCTTAATTAACCTATAAACCAATATTAAAACAAACACTAGTACATTTTACAAACAGGCATATAACATAATAACTTGTGGTAATGTTTTCCTATGGAGCAGTCTGCTTGTTTGGGATTGGAAAAGCTCTCTCAGAACCAGTATTCAGAGACAAAGATGTGCACATTGACAATATTACGATGAGAGACAACCCCACCCATGACGTAGTTCATCTCCAGTTTCAGGATAGCATGGAAAGGTCCAACAATGGGCTTCACCTGACGAACAACACCTGTAGTAAAAACAAAACAAAATCACTGAGATCACTATGCAAATCCAAATGGTGAGAGATGACCTGTAGCTTAGATCAACCCTTGGCTAACAGTAGGCATGTCTACACATGCGCTTTAATGCGCATTAGCCTACTTTAATGTGTATTAAAGCAGTGTTTCTCAACCCGTGGTACGCGTACCCCTGGGGTACACAAGACATGGGCAGGGGGTACGCAGGTGCTGCATTTTGATCTTTGCCTGCTTGGGCCAGAAATTCCAGCCACTGCTCCTCCCACCATGTCCAGTGCACTGAAGCTTTCACTCCCCAGCATGCGGGCTGCTTTGTCCCAGGCCGCGGTGGAAAAAGTGGGACTCGGCTCACGGCAGTGAAACTGGAAGTGCCACAGTGGGACTTCTGGTTTTGCTTTTGCTGCATCAATTGGCAGGGAGTACGTAAGGTACCAAAGGTTGAGAACCACTGCATTAAAACATCACCAAAAAAAATGCTCTTTAGCTAATGTGCTTTTCTCTAGTACCTCAAAATGGAGGTACTAGGTTTAATATGCATTACCTAAAGCATATTAATTGAGTGTGTAGACAAGCCCAGTGGACCAAATTAACAAAGCTTGTACCTTCTTGGCCTGGAGATGGCAGCTGACAGAGGCAGCCACTAGATGGCTGGCCTATGGGATGTAGGTTGCCAATCCCTGGCCTAGAGGGGTTTGATCTTAGCCATAAAAGGCTAACATTTAAGCCATAAAAGGCTGAGATGCTAATTAGAACCATATATTACAAATTTTATTAAAAACATACTTATCACCCTACGGTTACAAAGCTACACATATTGAGCATCCTTGTTTTACCAAAACTTCATAGCATAGAAACACCTACATACCAAGAACTATCAACTACATATATTGAACACTTAAACAACATTCATCAACTTCCCACAGAAAAACCAAGCTCTTAGCAATGGGGTTGTGCCTGTTACTGCTCCCATGCAGGCAAGGGATGCGTCGCCAGGGCAACACAGTGCTGCAGCAGGGAGGGGGAGCTGGGCTTTGCTTTGCTGCAGCAGTCGCCACTGCTGCGAACCGGGTCCTTGGCCCTATAGCACTGGCAGCTGAGGGCCCCCTCCAGCAGGGCTGGGGGAGCAGGGGCTGTGGGTTGCAGGCAAGGGCCACTAGCAGGGCTGGGGGCAGGGGCGCTTTCCTGAATAAAACCTCACCAATTCCCTTCTGTGTCCCCATGATGAACTTATAGGCAGCCACAAGGTTGCCTCTCAACCTTCTCTTGCGGAGGCTGAAAAGGTCCAGGTTCTCTAGTCTCTCCTCGTAGGGTTTGGCCCGCAAGCCCTTAACCATACGAGTGGCCCTTCTCTGGACCCTCTCCAGGTTATCCGCATCCCTCTTGAAGTGTGGCACCCAAAATTGCACGCAGTATTCCAACTGCGGTCTGACCAGCGCCCAATAGAGGGGAAGTATCACCTCCTTGGATCTGTTCGTCATCCTGATCCACTCTGCTATAACTGTGTTTATTTTCCTTTCCTTGATTTGGACAGTGTATCTCTGATCACTGATTGGTTCATAGATACTTCTACCTGGTACTGCACACACTTGGTCTTCATGTAAAATCTTTTTGAGGCTTTTCCTCATCCTCAAAGCCAGTGTCTTGGCTATTAATTTAAAGTCAATATTAAGGAGTGTAATTGGCCTCCAGTTTTTCAGGAGTTCCTTCTCCCATTTGTTCAAAGAGTAAGATCACAACACCTCTTGTAAAATCTTTCACTGCTTCTCCTGTTTCTGCTATTTCTTTGAACACTTCCACTGTATCCTACACATCCCCAAAACTTCCCATAAAATTCCATAGGCAAGCCATCTGTTCCTGTTGATTTCCCTCTTTTAAATGTTTTTAAACACTTCTCCACTTCCCTTAAGCTCCTCTATCTCTTCTATCTTCTTTGCTTCCTCTTCCTCTACTTTCTCTTTCATCTCCTCCACTCTTTACACACTGATGCTCTTTTGATCCCTTTTTCTGTCTTTAAGGCATAGATCAGGCTTTCAATGCCAATGGAACTCTACCACAAAAATAGTTTAATGCAGTCTATCTGAATAAGATATATGTCACAGGGCACCTCAGTGCCTGCTCCTAGAGAGGAGAAACTGCCAGGGGGAGAGCCCTGGCAGAGCCTAACGAGCCCAGCTGAAGGTTGCCAGGGTAACGAGCGCAGCTGCGGGTTGCCGGAGCAACTAAGGGGAGCCAGCTGCCTGTAGGAGGCAGGGCCTGGCCCTTATAAAGCCCAGGGCTGAGGCCAGGTGGGCAGTTCTCTGCCAGCAGCCAGGGAGGCAGGAGCTTCAGGAGTGCAGATGAGGAGCCGAGCCGAGCCGAGCCGAGCCGAGCCGGGCCGTGCCTAGTAG